TTTTGACCTAACGGTGGCCAGTAGCGCTTTCGATCCGCCTCAGATATAATCTTAATCTTTTCGGGAAAACGAGACGTTTTTTATTGCCAAACCTCAGGTTATAGCAATACACAGTATATACTACATATGCTGCACATACATATGTATGCATATGCTCGTACATACATACATAAGTCTGCGCCAGATGTGAGGGGTTGATGTGGATATTCAAGAACCTTTAGAAAAAACTGAATGGTAGTCCACCTTTTACACAGAAGCAATGGTCTAACTTAATGAATCAATTGTAATTAATAACTTTAAAGAGCTATTGTTGCTAAAACCCATAATAATTACTTATTTCTTGTGTGACCGCGGAATTATCGATAAAATATACCGTCAGACCCTTAAAAATATAACAAACTATACTATCTTATTTTGAGAATATACCGTAATTGCTAAACGACTTTTCTCGATTTTGATATTCTGATCTATATTACCAGCTAGTTGAGATTCCCAGCGCAAAAACTATAATTTTGTTAAATTCATCAGTCTTTTCTCCACGAGATTGGCTAGCTTTCATGAATTTTTCTTTTGTATCGTTTTAAAAATAAGCTTTAAATTAAAGATGTAAACAAAAAAAAAGTGCATACAAGAAATAAACTAGATTATTGTTCGGTGTTTTCTTTCCAGCCCTGAAGATCGCTCTGCCAACTGATTCAAAATCTTAAGAAAAAATGCATCTTCAAGATACACACAAAAAAAAAAAAACAATCTGAATCTGTATACAAAGTGCGTCAGAATTTTCCACGAGAATTCTGGTCATTAAAAAACGATTAAAGAGCAATAAATGTCTACGGCTAACTAAATGCCAACGTGCAGAAGATAGCTCCCGTACACAAAACCAATTACTGTGATCCTTCCGGAGCATGAGCATCATGTTTTCGAGTGTGCGGAATACTTCGGAAGCTGTGGCGGCACTCGCCTCACTGGCTCTGGGACTGGTTCTGCTTATATTCTTATCTACAACGCCGACTGTGATTGATGCCACCCAGTCAGGGATCTACATAGACAACGGCAAAGATCAGACGGTCATGCACCGCGTGCTCAGCGACGACGACAAGCTGGATGTATCGTACGAGATACTAGAGTTCCTGGGCATAGCCGAGCGCCCCTCCCACCACAGTAGCCATCAATTGTCTTTGAGAAAGTCGGCACCGAAATTTCTGCTGGACGTTTACCACCGCATCACGGAGGAGGAAGGTCTGGGCGGTGGCAATACCGATGAAACTGAGCGCAGTCACCGCTCAAAGCGAAACGCCGAAATGATGGCCGATGAAAGGATTGGAGATGGTGAAGAAAACTTCATTACGGATCTGGACAAGCGCGCCATAGATGAGAGCGACATTATAATGACTTTTTTGAACAAACGAAATCACAACGTGGAGGAACTGCGCCACGAACACGGTCGCCGCCTGTGGTTCGACGTCTCCAAGGTGCCAAACGATAACTATCTGGTGATGGCAGAGCTGCGCATCTACCAAAACTCCAACGAAGGCAAATGGCTGACAGCAAACAAGCAATTCACGATCACCGTCTACTCCATGGGATTAGATGAGTCGGGTCAGAATACGATGGAAGCGCTGTCCTCGGTGAACACCACTGGCGACTACGTCGGCTGGCTGGAGATGAACGTGACTGAGGGTCTGCACGAGTGGTTGATCCATTCCAAGGAGAACCACGGCATTTACATTGGAGCGCACGCAGTCAATCGGCCGGATCGAGAAGTCAAACTGGACGACATTGGACTGATCCACCGCAAAGTGGACGACGAATATCAGCCATTTATGATTGGATTCTTCAGGGGGCCCGAGCTGATCAAGACAACCTCGCACAGCAGCCACCACAGAAGCAAGCGGAGCACGCTGCATCAGCGCAAGAAAAAGAAGTCGGTGCCGGTGCATCCCTTTTTGGAAGTGCCCATCGAGAATACACGCAGCTGCCAGATGCAAACGCTCTACATTGACTTTAAGGATTTGGGCTGGCACGATTGGATAATCGCCCCCGAGGGCTATGGGGCGTTCTATTGCAGCGGCGAATGCAATTTCCCACTCAATGCGCACATGAATGCCACCAATCATGCCATTGTGCAGACACTGGTGCATCTGCTGGAGCCCAAGAAGGTGCCAAAGCCGTGCTGTGCACCGACGCGACTGGGCGCACTGCCTGTGCTGTATCATCTCAATGATGAGAATGTCAACCTGAAGAAGTATAGAAATATGATTGTGAAATCCTGCGGGTGCCATTGAATCCAATTTATAAACTAATCTAAGCATTTTAAAGCATTTCTGTGTAGATGTACCGTCTCGTCTGTGTACTAATCTCGAATATTTTTATAGAAATATTAAAAGCAGTGCCTAACCAAGAGAAAACGAGAAGTATTGATTCTGCAGGAATGTCTTTATTCAATACGACTTCATTTTGATACGATTTTTAGTACGTTACATACATATTTCATAACAAATAACATAATTCATTGATTTCATCAACTCAAAACAATATCTCCAACTTTCTCAGAGTTTCACATAAAGGCGTACAAAGATTAAATGATATTTTTGATTGTGCGGCTCGTCAGCCCATAAGGAACGATTCGTTTACATTTATCGCTTGTGAATCCAATGATGGCGAAAGGCGAACAAGTCCATAATTAAGTTTCCAACTCGTTTATCAATAAGACTACAAATTAAACGGCCATCAAAGTTGGGCATGCTAACACTTATCGATCGACAAGCTTCACTGGAAGAGAGAATGCGGCTCACATTAGGACGAGTTACGTTCGTTTTCTCTAATATACTTACATAATTTCATACACTGGAATAACATTGCGAAAATATTCCTTCAATGTGAATACTCCGTTGATGGTTTTGGCACGGCTGATGCTCAACATTTCATCCTCATTCTTTTTATACAAAATCACGAAAATGTGTCGATTGGGCGACTCGATGGGTCTGGCAAATTTGCCCAGCACGGATTCGATAAAGGGAGTGCTGCTGCTCTTGTAGAAATCCTCGCAGGTTTCTTTGGTGTGCAGCACAAAGAACTGTCGCTCAATAAAGTGCGAATGGACGTCAAAATATGATGATAACGGCCGCTTGACCAGAATATCTTTGCTATCTTCTATTTCCTGATTCCAGCTAAAGTGACGATTCACCGTCAGCAGGTAAGTGGTTGGCAGCTTCACAATTGGATGATAATGAATGTTTGGAGTCTTTGAGAAACCCACTGCCAGATCTTCATTTTCAAAAACTTTGGCTAGCGTTTCATTGATCAAGCCCTGGTTGACCATGAGGAGAGAGTCGGCGTTCCATTTGTCCTGATCGCTGCAGTGCTTCAGAAATTCATGGTATCCATCGTAGAAACATTGACGAGTTTTTATGACCAACTCGGCTACAGTTTTTGGCATAACCATCCAGAGCCATTCATCGATGTAGATATTGACATTATCATTTTGACTTGGGCTTATCTGGGAATTTCTGATGCGGCTGGGACCTAGCAAACGAATGCAATCAATTAGTGAGGCTCCTTAGGCTGTTGTCAGCAAACTTACCCGCAAACATGGCCACTGCCATGGGGAGTACCATGGTGGCATATAAAATGTAATTCCTCTGCTTGGTGCACACAACCCAGGGGCTGCGGAAATTAAGAGCTGAGCTGCTAAATGGCTCTAGGAAGTCACGCAGCACTGTGTTTGGGTGCAGGTGCATCCTCTCCGAATAGGCCGATTTGAGACACGATTTATTAACATCCAGAACACAGATATTTGGATACATGCCGCCGGTTAGGGCCGCCTTAACCACGTGCCAATTGCCCGACAATACGTTCAGATTCTTCATGGTCATCGTGCCACGGAAATGAATCAAGTTTGCAGCTCGCAGCGAGCTCACAATATTGGAGCGAATGAAGCTCAGCTGCTCCATCAGTCCATTGAGAATAAAGTCGTACTCATTGGTGAAGTACAGAATTGGCATCTTGCTCTTTTGACTATTCTGCCAGTCCTGAAACAATCGCAGGAATATAAAGTGATCCGAGAACTGGTTGTCTGCCAGGCGGCCACGTTCATTCTTGATGAGGTTTTGTATATAAATCGTGAAGCGATCCCACAAGCTGTCAATGTCCTCAGTGAAGGGAATGCTCAACGGATCGGCAGTGGAGAGCGATGTCACTATGGTCAGTACTGGATCAATGCATTGCAGAAGAATTCCATAGATCAACATGCGTCCCAGCTGGCAGGGCACGGGTATGTCGAGCAGGCGGCAGCCCAGCCAAGTGAGTTCTTCCACCTCGTTTAGGGCTTCAATTTTCTTCAACAGCTGCACAGCATGGTGCACATTGATGACTGGCGGTGGCGAAATGGTTTGGCCCAGATATTCACTGATAATCTTGTGGGGCGATAGCGCCTTCACCGTCAAACATATCTTGTCCAGCTGGATTCTCTGCAGCTGGGCTGGGCTGCTTTCGGTTAGCATATTGAACGTGGTCTTGGACAACAAGCGAAAGCATTGCGTGTCGGAAGCAGCTCCTGGAAAAAACAATACGTTAGAGTTAGCTCAAATCATCGAAAGGGAAGCTTTACCATCGAGTAAGGATTCCCTTCGTAGCAGACAATCTTTGGCCACCCATTCGTATCGGTGTTCAGCACAGTAGTTGCTACAATTGTAAACGAAATACTGTTTGCAGGCAGTGTCGATAACGTACTTGAACGACACCTGCAACGGCAACGATTCAACTATATCCGTGGCCAGCACCACCTTGTCCGTGTCTTGGCGAGCATTAACCAACTCGTCAATGTATTCAACGCCCATATTTTCGTGCAGCAGAAATATGGAGAATTCCTGCAGCTTGCCGCACATGTAATGACTAAGCAGCATGTAGTTGAGCTTAACAATATGATAGTAGGTGGGCAAAATTACCAAAATGTTGCCTGCAAAAGAGAGTTGGAGAGAGAGAGAGAGAGGATATATGGATTAGCGGACATATCCATAAAAGAGAGTTTTGTTGATTTATTAAATCTGATTTACAATATTGTTTTTGTTTTTTTCCTACGCAAATACACCCGGCGATTCCTTGAATCCAAATGAAATGAAACTGAACATTGAAGACAGATGCACTCTGATGATACACAATTATCCGATACATATATATGTCTAACATGGCATTTCTTAAACTATAACTAATATGTAGAACTATTTAACAGGCATAAATGAGTGTGTGTGTTTGGGCTTTCCGGGCAGAGTGACGCGACATCATCAGGTCTGGTGTGTAATCTTTAAGTTTAAGTGTAAGCGTTAGAAATGCCTGCCGACTAAGGCAGAGGCAGAGACAGATACAGCGAGTTAAGTTCAACATTTTGCTATGATTGTGCAGAATCGCTGCTGTTCTCCAGTGCCGCTAGCTGCTTTAGGATTTCGGCTTTCTTTTTCACCTTGTCCAGCTGATCTTTGTCCAACTTTTTGTGTTCGCCGGCCTGAATCCTGCTCTCGATTTGCTCGATTTCTCGGATTTTCTTGCGTAGCTTTTTCAACTGCTTCTCCGTGTCGACATCTTCGGGCACGTTGAGCGTCAATTTATCCGCCAGAGCGTCTGATATCACATTGACATTGGCCTTGCTGTCGTTCGAGGGTTGACTGCTAACCTTGAGCGGGGATCCGGCACTGCTGCCACTTGGTGCAATTCCATCCTTGTCCTTGTCCTGCTTCTTGGCTCTCGTTCGCTCCTGCTTCTCGCGTTCTTTCTTTGACTCTGCCGCGAGAATGGGGCACATGCCAGGCGGAACTCCAGTCTGTCTTTGGGCGACAAACTGCTTGCCCTTGCTCTCGTACAACGGCACCTCCTCCTGGGGCACATATCCATCCTTCACACGACGCGCCTTGCGCCAAGTGCCATCTGGACGCTTTGTGGCCGGGATAAACTTCCCCTCGCTGCTTTGCTGATAGGTGCTCATATTTCTGGTTTCTGGTGTTTCAGCCAATGCCTGCCCTGGTTCTATATTCTATTAAAAAACAATGCCAATATATGGCAAAGGGCGATATGTATCGATACTGCGATAGTTGCGCACATGGTGGTGGAACACGTTCCAGGGCAGCAACACAACACAACACGATGAATCCAAATTTTATGCAAATTCAATACATATAGTACAAATAACCGTTACTAACTGAACAATAGGTATCTCTCACTTAGCCTTACAGTAGAGACTTACCCGATGGATATTCCGGCTTGGTGCGCAACAAGTAAAACAAATCAATTATAAGATCGTAGTCCACAAACTCAGGCTTGGCGCTTTTAATTGCATTGCCACGCAGACTGAAGCTGTTGAGGATGTCAATGCACTCATTCTTTTCCATCGATGCGGCCACTGTGATGGCATTCTGAAGCTGCTCATCCGCTACGTAGGGATCCGCACCCATGTAGAGCAAGACGCGCAGGTGGCTGGGATTGTTGTGCTGAGCCGCAATAATCACAGCAGTCTTGCCGGTCGTCGAGTGGCGGTAGTTGACCGGCACCAGGTCGTAGTTGACGGCATACAGAAACGGACGAATAGAAAGATCCGAGCCGAACTCCTCGTACGCCTCCAGACACTTATCCATTTGCTCATTTCTGGGTGTCTTGGTTCTGTACACCTCCGGCGTCTCCTTGTATATGTCCTGTCCCTTGTGTATGCCTGCCACTGAGATGCGACTGTGAATATCGCCCAAGTAAGAAATGCTTGGCGCCGTTTTTGGTGCTCCCTCCTTCGGGATAAATTCGGTGCCTTCTTCGAAAAATTCGGTAAACTTCCTAGCGTCTGCCATTTGGCACAACAGAACGACTCTCAGATTTTGGTGCTGGGTTAGGGCAATGCGCAGTTCGCTGAGCAACACGTCGATATAGGGATCGTGTAGGTCCACGTCGTTTACAATAAAATGACTGATGTTAAGGCACTTCTGTTTGGTCAGCGAGCGCAGCACGTACTGCGCCGTGGAGCATATTATGTGCGTTTCCGAGCTAATGTTGCTGCTGTGCGGCAACTGAATTCCCACAGTCTCGCCCAAATCCTCAGCGAAGTAGTGGGCCAAGCGCTTGCTATTGTGCAGCGCCAAAACGTTTTCCTTCTCAATGCAAATGATCTTCGCATTTGTCTTCTTCGCCTCGCAGTCTTCGAAAATGAGTAGCGGCATATAAACCGATTTGTCCCACGAGAGATCGGCACTGAACACCACAACACGCTGTTTGTATAGCATCTGCATAACGGTATCCATGAATGAATAGCCAGGAAACTGTTTTAGCAAATTGCGTTGTGTATCGTCCTTAATGCGCTGCGTGGGCGGCTTGATAGTCGGAAATGGCAGATGAGGCACCATAATCTCCGCAACGCACGCACGCTGTGGTATAAAATCTGAGCTCAATCTAAGCTCGTCCTTGCCCAAGTTGGTTGTTCGCCCCAACATGGTCAGAATGTTTATTGCCGTCGCGGGCGAGAACGTCATTATTTTGGGCTCCTCAAGGTAATGGCGGCAAGTGCGCTTGAAGACTTTGATCATTTCGCCATTGCTAAACATGCGTTGTGTGAGCAAGCCCAAGGAGCGCGCGTATTGCTGGAAAATGTCGTGCTCTGTCGATCGAAATGTGCATGGAAACTCTTGGCAGCATCGCCGACCAGCCACAAAGTACAGCAATTGCTGCGGAATAAACTTATCCTGTATAATTTCGTTCATTTTGAGCAAAACTTTAGCCAAAAGAGATTTTTTAACACAATCTGGCCGCTTTCCGTTAATGTCAAAATTCGTGCGCGTCAATGGATCCAGTGTGACAGCGGATTTATCGATACCATATACCTTGTCATTTTAAAAATATACCGAAAAATAACATAAATCTTAAATAATTTTCTTTGATTTTGCGATTCTATATAACATTACCAGCTAGTTGGGACTCTTGGCGCTTAAACTAAGATTTTATCCAATTTATCAATACATTTTTCACACGATTGGATAGTTTTCATGACTTCCTTTTATTAGATTGCCTACAAAATAAGGATCAGACTAACAAGGTAATACATTCTCGATCTCTATAATCTGAAAATGGTATATGTGGACTAATTATTGTAAAGGTTCAATTGTGTATTATCCCAGTTAAACAAATTAAAATCAGCTTTTGCCTTATTGGATTTTATTTTTTCAACTATAGATGAAGTGATATTATGTCTTTTACACCGATGTAGTTAGTCTATGTTTCTCCGACATTGCATATATAGAAATTCTAGGGAAATATATTCCAATGTATGCATACCCTGCAGGGTATTCAAACTTCGCAGCGCTCAGAACAAAGCATGCCCAAAACCACGCGATGTTGGTCAGTCCGATCATATTTTCGTGGCGAATCAAATCAAGATAATAGTAAAATAAATAACACATTTATTGCATTATTTATAAGTCGTTGAACTACAAGGGCATATAAACTTCGGGCCTCCGATGTTATATTTCCTGCATTTTTAATAGTAGAATAGAATAGACATTTAAATAAACTACACAAGTTGTGGTTAAACAAAGGTTTACTTCTTAAACAAAAATTGTTTTTTACCAATTCTAGTTGGTAAATATACTCAAAGAAAATTGGATTTCTCCACAGAGTTTTGGGAGCCGCTGCTCTGATTGGACCAACCAGCGTTGCCGGGTGCACAGCCATTCTGGAATGAAGATAATACAAAATAAGTTATTTACATAAGTGGATGGAATTTTAGTGGATAACTAACCTGTTGGTCGTTACAGGAAGAATTGTCAACTTTAATCATTCCACCGGGTCCTGAATTATTTGGGTTGTTTGATCCTTTTCGGCCGCCGTAGTTCACGTTGTTGTTGGCATTGTGGCCGCCGTTTTGAGCCATCCATGATAAAAAATTGCCACCCTGAAAAGTAACTGAGAGAGTTTTTTGTTTGAAACAATGATAGAGTTTAGAAGGCTTGCCTGCTGGTCCTGGTTTTGATTTTGCAGCTGATTGCCCACAAGGCTCCACTGATTCAACGCAGCAGCAACCAAAGCAGGGTTGATCGGCAATGAGTTTAAATTAAGTCCGACCCCCAAAGGGTTGTTCATGTTCTGTCCTTGGTTGGACGAGCTCGATCCTTGCGAATTAATGCCTAATGCTTGTAAGTTAGGCATGTCCAAGGGTCCCCTGTTCATCCAGCCGCCACTGCCAACGTTTCCGTTGTGGGGCTGGTTCATTCCATGAAAGTTTCCCTGTCTATTGTAGGGAGCGCCACCATCCTGGCGGTTAATGTGCCCACCACTAGCGTGATTACTACTATTATTATGGTAGCCCCCACCCGCATTGCCACCATAATTATGTCCGCCCATTCCGTAACCACCACTGGCATTGTTGCTGTGACTGTGACTGTGACTATTGGCGATATTCGGGTTCTCACCACCGTGTGCATTGTGTTGATTATTACCTCTGTGGTGCCCACTTCGGCCAGGATGTGACGTCATATGGTTGCCTTGAGGATGATACGAATGCATGCCATAGCTGTTGCCCGAGCTATAATTGTAGTTCTGTCCTTGGTGGCTTCTGCTCTGCTCGGCCTTCGGTGCAGCATTCGAAACATGAACTGAGACACCTATAGAAGCCACGAACGAAACGAAGCAGGTTATCGCTATGGTTGTCTCGGACTCGCACAAACGTTGCTCTTACCTTTGATTATATGATCCTCGCCGCACAGGGATTGCGCTACATCTGGATCGAAAAATGTGACAAAGCTAAAGGCTCGAAATGGCCGGGGAATAAACACATCGGTGACCTCGCCAAACTTTGAGAAATATTCGCGCAAATCGTCCGAATTTATGTCCTCTGTGCAGCGACCAACGAAGACTTTGCATGGCACCTGATGACCTACCCCCTGTAAGACGATTTTGATTAGTTTAATAACATAATAAACCTGGATGTGAGTGTGCATTACCTTTGAATTTGGAACTTTAACCTCGCACCAGCGACCATCGATGAGGTGCCGGTTAGAGAGTACACGCATCTGAGCATCGTACGAACCGAAACGCACGAAGCCAAAACCTTTGGACTGTCCGGACTTGACGTCCTTCTTGATCTGCGCCATTAGCACTTCTCCATAGCTCTCAAAGTATTCCCGCAAGCTGTCCTCGGTTGTTTTCCAAGGGAGTCCCAGAACAATGAGATCAGTGCAGCGCAGCCGCGTCTCGATGCGTTTCGTTTTGGCTGTTGAATTCTCTAAATTATCATCGCTCTTGCGTTTGTTTTCTATAAGAGGGAAAGCAATGTGATAAGAGATATTTGCAGAGAATATCGTGTTGCATGTGATTTACCTTTGGGAAAGACACAAAAGTAAATGTATTCACCCCAACCGGAGTCTACGCTTGGTGGAAATAGTCGGCCCTCGTTTGACCGAACGCCGCGCACGGCCTTGGTGTCCATGTTGCGGTACTTGAGGCCGCATGAGCCGGGAAACTGTGCCTGCAGAGTCGACAGCAGCAGTGTGCCATCTTCCTCAGCTGGCAGCTCGATGGGCTCATCACCCTCCTCCTCCGACACTTGAACAAAATCCATAACTATGTCTTCTCTGAGTAACACTAAAATGACAGGAAAGTTAATGCAATGTTCTGAGCAAGCGGTTCCACACGTCGCTCTGTTCTTGATCCATCATTCAATCAACTGAAGCATCCCACTTGGTAATATACTCGTACATATTCAGATCAGATTCTATCTATGCTACATACATAAAATGCACTCAACTCAACTCAACTCATTCGTCTCATACTTTCTTTCAAAATAAACCAAACAAACAAACAAACCATTTGATGCTCAGATTCAAATCAAACAAAACGAAGATCCAAAATGTCTACGTCTGAAAATTTAGATGTCTCCGAAAAAGTGAACTTTAGAAGATTTATCTCTTACAACGCTAGCCATGTTCTTTTCTTATAAAAAAAAAACAAAGAAAATGTGAAAATATCGATTGAACTAGATAAAAACCAATATGCATAATTAACTTCTGTGTACATATTTCGAAATGTCGATAAGTCTTT